TTAATCAGTGTTATAAAAAGAACAGGGAAAAGTGCGATCAGGTTGACAAATTTCGAAGATCCGAAAGTTGGATTCAATAAATTGCGACTAGATCCGGCAGATTTAATATGCGCTGTATAAAGTATCAAATACATTCAAAGTGGAAAAACAAGAAACAGTCGATTGACAAAATATTTTTTACCATATTTTGACAAGTGTTAAGTTGCGTTCAAAATCGTTCGTTTTTTTTGGAAACATACATTTACACGCAATTATCTTGATAGATTTCACGTATATACAAAAATCACACACACGCATATTAACTCTATTTAATTGTTTAAAAGATAAAGAGGAATAATATACAAATATCGAAAGAGTTCTATGTACATCTTTTTAGATTTCCGTGATTTGGTTACACAGCATTCTATTCTCATCTCGTCGTTTATCATGGTTTTTTTCACACGTTAAGTATCAAAAGCAGCATCATCATATATCATGTATCCTTGAATTCAGCGTGTCTCGCAACGCCACGTGCAACTTCGCACGCCAATGCATGCTAACAACGCGCACGGTTTATTAGCATACCTGCGTTTTTTTTTCTGCAGCATATCCTTCTGATCGAACACTGAATAGATTATCTCAAACGATTATCGTCGTTGTCTGTGATGTATGTCTCTGGGAACATCGCGCAAAAATATCCTAATAAACGATTGTTTTATTGTCGATCCGCATAAATAGATAAATAATTAAATATTCACGTGACAGTTCGATAAAAACATCTAGCATAAATAGATCGTTACGAAACGATCATCCTCTCTGATGCAGACAGAGAAGTAAGTCGGTTCTTGTGATCGACAAGTATATCAGTATATTAAATTCACTTGAGAGAGCAAACTCACAACCATCTTCATGTGATAAAGTAACATCTTCTTTTTTTTTGTGCGGTCACGATTTTTCTTTGTGTTTCCAACGAGTGTCGAATAGAAGATCTTTTCATTTATATGTCCAGACACGATCATTTAACGACGTTCCGAATGAGAAAACTTTGGAGAAGTTTTTTCTTTTTGTAACAACAACAAAGTTTATTCACGTTCGATCGCTAATGAAAGAAAAAACCGCTCGCTTTATATCTACTTACTATCTGCAGTACGATCGCTCGGCTATTAATAGCTAATTACATGTTGAGGAAATCGCGACTGATCGTTCCTTGCTTATTGCTTAATTGAGAGGCACGACTATATATCTTGGTCTACAAAAATACACGGATACTTTCCATCTTTCTTATCTTTGCGGATAATCCAGGCGGATGCGGACGTGGTGCCTTCTTTCGTGCGCAATCCTTGCGCAAAGATAGTTACCTATCGCGTATACGCGGTCGTGCATGACCGCGCCAGGTTCTACTTTCTTCGATGGCCTCTCTAGAACGCGCCGAGTCTCATTGGACACAGTCGCACATCAGGCAAAGCCATCCAACAACATACGCAACAAACGTGAATAAGATGCGCGTCACAACATACCGGGGCTTATGTATTTAATAAACCTGCGAGCCCGAGTTCGCTTTCGCGTAATAAATTGTAAAGCAACTTTTCCCGCTGCCACATGTTTGAATTCTTAACGGTGCATCTTATCTTCGTTATATTCGTTATATGAAAGCTCTCGACAAATAATAACGCGCAACTTTCACGATTCTCACGAGGAATCTTCCTGTCTGCATGTAAAATGGAAAACTCAAATGCCGTCTCAATTGCAGAACTACATATTTGATTTGTGATTATGTAACGTTGTTAAAAATAAAAAGAAAAATTAGTTATCGATATATATAGGATTTGTGTACAGAGAGAAGAAAAACGCAATTTATTATATCTACCTATGTTATACGTCAAAAGTATTTATTTTAAAAAATAGGCAAAAGAGAGAGAAACGCTTGCAATTATCTGTCGTGTAATTAAAATGACATAAGCACGATTGGCTCTGACGGATGTTTTTGCGATCGTTAATTATATGTATATATACATATATATATATACGCATATATGTATTATATTATATTATATTATATACGCATGTCTGGTTTTGCTATAAATTCTCGAGTACGCAAAAGTTAATGTGCGTTTAATTATCAAGAATAAAAAGAACTTTCTACGTGATTACTGATTACTTGGGATATGTTTTAATTGGTACTGTGATTTATAATTTGTTTCATAATCGTTATTGTCTATCGCGCGATGCGCTTGCTACGAAAAAAAGAAGGAACGAGGGCGAACAGTTTGACGTATGTATCGCTTCACGATGGAGAAAGAGAACGGCACAGATCCACGAACGTGATCCGTTCGCACGGCGTGGCCGACACAACACACGCGGCTTCGGCGCGCTCGACCTCTTTGCGCCTACGTGGGAGGAATAGGAAGTCGTGCATTAAATCCGAATCTCCACCTTTCAGCGCTTAAACGCCTCTCAAATGGCCGCGGACCCGCGGGCCTTTACAATAATGCGCGCACAAAAGCGATTACACGGCCGTCGATTGCGCTTATTTCCCAATTTAATCGCAAAGACGCGTAGCGTCTATCTCTTCTCGAAGACATGTATCTCTCTCTCGCCGAACATCTTTCAGAACGATCGATACTTGTCATTGATCTAAAAATTGATTATCTTTAATGTGTGCGGATATCGATCCCACCTTCTCACATAAACGTATTCCTGTGTTCTTCTCTCGTTCTATTATTGTATAACATCTATTAAATTCAGAGTCGACAGACATTTTAACGCAAACATCATAAAAAGAAAAGAAGTTAAATTTTAGTACGTGTTTTACTTGATTGTTTCAAAGTAGTCGCGCTCACACAGACGCGTCTAAAAACCTCTCGGCAAACTCTTAAGCTCGCACATATCAAGCTATGGAAAAATTCCAGTCTCGGTCGCTCACTCGTCTGTGATTCATTCGCGTTCATTGCCGAATTACCCGCGTACATCATATCGTCGTTCCCGTTCTCGTGTGTTCGTGTGGAAAAATGTTGCTTTCCGAGCTATAGTATTATACGGCATCGGAACTTCACATGGAAACGTTCTCACGAGATATTGCATTTCTCTATTTTTTTAGCGCAGAAACATGCGATAACACATCTGTGCATTGTGACGTCGCGCGAATGAATTAGCGACTGCGTGCAAAAAGATACTCAAATATTTTACCTTGCGTATCTTCTTGCGCGTGTAATTGCTAAAGTTAAATTTAGAATTCCTCGTGTTGACGTACAATTAGCTTGAATAAACAAATTTTGTTTAATGAGATTTATTCTATTCCCGGTTGAATTATAATATAAGAATAACTTTTGTCTTTCTTCAATTGAAGAAAATTTATGTTAAGGATAAAATTTAGTTATTAATATCAAATAGATCTCTCTCTCTCTCTCTCTCTCTCTCTCTGATGCGTCTTTGTTCATCATATTCAAAAGTGAAATGATGTAGATATTCTATAATACGTGAGTTGCGGAATAAATATAAACGGGAATGTTTAGAGAGAGAGAACAAGAAAAAGAGAAGAGAAACTGTAATTATACATATGCATACAACGAGACGTGCAGTGCAATAGGCTGTGATCGGTATGCAGCATACCGATCACAATTTATCTAACGACTGTATCTACCCATATGATCCAATTAGACGCTTAATGTCTCAAAGATACAAGTACTGTCATGCTGAGATGATGAAACGCGAAAGGATTTTAGCCTTCATCCTCAAGGCTGACCACTGGTACACCGCGAACAATCGTCCGCGCTTTTTTTCACACAACTGGAGGCTTCTTTCGTGAAAAACAATGAGCTTCATAAAACGCTGTATTTTATTGTAAAATTATTGTTTTAACTTTTCTCTTTTTTTATCTTGTAACCAAGAACAACATCTGCATGAAATATTAGAGAATATTAGCAACGCCGAGCGTAAAAGAAAACTTATATCTAACTCAAAACATGTATTTGTGTTAACGCATGCATGTAATTGACCTGCTTTTATTGTGTGTGTGTATACATATATACATATATATATATGCATAAACTATTACGTCAAAAGATTTAGTTCTATCGCGTTCTTCAGATATAAAACGATAGAGAACTGGATCTCTTTCTAGAGGGAGTGCGGCAGAGAAAAGTAAGACGGAAATGTCGAATGATCGAATTTCGCAATTGCAATCGTTTACTGACAAAGAGGAGGATAGAATGCACGCCCATGTTGAATTCTCGTTCAGGGCTGCGTTAGCCGGAGCTGTAATTTGTAGCATTGCAATTAATTTTTATATATGCACCATATAAAATAACAAGCTTGTTATTTTACCGAGACCTTATATTCTCAAGAAATTTTCTTCTATGTAGAAAAAGACAGAAAATTTTATCAAGATCTGAAAAAATTGTTTTAATGTGAAAATTGAAAAAATGTCTAATCAGAAAATTAAAGGAGCATTTTTCTATTAACTTGATTGAGCATAATTATAATTTGTGTTACGTCTTTCTTTACTATGTTTAAAATTTTAATATGATTGTAGTATGCATATTTTTAGATTACTGTATATTATAAATTAATGATATCTAAATAATCATATCCAGTTTCTGCATAATTAATTCATAAATTAGCTTCTGCGCAGCGAATGATGCGATGTAATTTTACGCAATTCTCTTCCCGTTTCCACAACATAGCGAGAATGCTCTTTGGTCGCGCGCTAAGCTCGTTAGCACGCGCGTGTTGAACGTGCACGCGTGATAGCCGGTTAATGCGTCGCGAGAAGTTTAATGCGCCGATGTGGAAAGTGATTTTCGAAACAGATAAAAGCGAGAGAGGCTCAGCGTGGCGTTAGATCGTAGAAATATAGAAAGAGAATGGCAAGTTGGATAGCGTCCAAATCATCGGTAATTTCGTTTTATCATAAAATGTCGAGGGAAAGGAAAAACTGCGGGCAATTTGATTTAAATTTTTTGTGATATTTTCACTGGAAGATTAATTGTCGTTTCCTGATCGATCGTACATTTATGTTGCAGGAGTCTAAGAGTCAATTTTAATTAGAGTCCGACGTACACACAACATGAGGAACTCGACATTGCTGAAATGGGCGCAGAATTCGGCAAACAATAAAAATCAGCCGGGCAAAAACGGAGGTGAGTAACTCTGCTACGCTACATTTACGTGCAATTGACGCTAACAAATATGGCTTGGTCGCTAATATTGAAACCGCGCCTCTCTTGTTTGCAGGAACGAATAGGAACTGGATACACCCACCGGACGCGCTCCAAAAAGGTCACATCGCCTACCTAGTCAAGGTACTGTGTACGATTGCGTGTCTGTGCAGTTTCTGTAACAATTTTGTTTCACGTCAGAGCAAGTACTGTGAATTTCTTATTCTGAATGTTTTATGAATTTTAATTTTATCGATAAATTGCTTATTATTCCAACTTTTATAAATATTAAAATATGCAACAAAATTTTAAATTACATGAAGAAAATAATAAAATATATGACTAGATATATATATATACAGGGTGTCCCAGAATTGCCGTACAATCTCTCGTAGGCAGATAGAAGGAATAAAACTGAGTCGAAAAGTCCTGAACCATTTTTTTCTATTATTTATAATAAAGGAGTAATTATTGAGTAAATCAGGCCAATCAGC